TTTCTTGAATTTTTTGGTTTTTCAGTTTTTCGATCGCTCCATTTATGGAGATTTCAGTTTCGATTTTTTGATTGTTCAATTTTCCGATTTTCTGATTTTTCAATTTTTCGATTTATCGATTTTGTTTAAATTTAAATTTTTCATTTTTCGATTTTGGTCTATTTTGAGTTCTTAATTTTTCAACTTTTGTGTTTTTCGATTTCTCGATGTTACAGTTTTTAAATTTTTAAATGTTTCGATTTCTCGATTTTTCGATTTATCGTTTTTTCGATTTTCGAATTTTTGGATGTTTCGATTTTTCAATTTTTCGTCATTTCACTTTTAGAATTTTCCAATTTTTCGATTTTTCAGTTTTTCGATTCTTTAATTTTCCGATTTTCGGAATTTTAAAATTTTTGATTTTACAATGATTTCAGTTTAAATTTGTACATTTTTCGATTTTACAGTTCTTCGATATTTCAGTTTTTCCAATTTTTAAATTAAAAATTGTTCAGTTTATTAATGTTTCGATTTGTTGTTGATCTTCCGATTTTTCGTCGTCTCTGTGTTAAATTTTTTGGATTTTCAATTTTTTGATGTTCCAGTTTTAGGATTTTTGAGTTTTCGAATATTCAATTTTTCTTCAATTTTTCAATTTTTCGATATTTCAGGTTTGGAATTTTTTGAATTTTCGACTTTTCTATTTCACAATTTTTTCTTTTTCGATTTTTAAAGTTTGGTTTTTCATTTTTTTCCATCTTCTGCTGTTTCAATCTCTTGAATTTTAAATTTTTCGACTTTTAATTTTTCAGTTTTTAAAATTTCAGATTTCTTCGATTTTTGTCCTTCGATTTCGGTTATTCGAATTTTTAAATTTTAGATTATTCAGTTTGTTGATGTTTTGACTTCTTGATCTTTTGATTTTGCGATTTCCCGGTTTGAAATTTTTTGGGTTTTAAATTTTTCGATTTTTCAGTTTTTCGATCTCTCCATTTATCGAGATTTCGATGTTTCGATTGTTTGATTGTTCAGTTTTCCAATTTTTTGATTTTTCAATTTTTCGATTTATCGATTTTTTCATTTTAAATTTTTCAATTTTTAACTTTTTCATTTTTCGATCTTGGCCTATTTTGATTTCTTAATTTTTCAACTTTTGTGTTTTTCGATTTCTCGATATTTTGATATTTCGGTTTCTCCATGTTACAGTTTTTAAATTTTTGTTTGTTTCGATTTTTCGATTTCTCGGTATTTCGCTTTTTGGACATTTCGGTTTTTCGATTTTCCAGTTTTTCGATTTCCAATTTTTCGTCATTTCAGTTTTAGAATTTTTCAATTTCTCGATTTTTCAGTTTTTCGATTCAATTTTCCGATTTTTCAACTTTTTTTTATAAATTTTAGACTTTTCAATTTTTCGATTTTCCAATGTTTCGATTGGTCAAAGTAGTACATTTTTCGATTTTCCAGTTCTTCGATATTTCAATTTCGCTATTTTTTAAATTTTAAATTGTTCAGTTTATTAATGTTCCGATTTCTTGATCATCCGATTTTCGTCGTCTCGGTTTTAGATTTTTCGGTATTTCAATTTTTCTATGTTCCAATTTCAATTTTTCGATTTTTAGATATTGGATTTTTTATTTTTTCGATTTTTTGATGTTTTAATTTCTTGATTTTTCAATTTTTCGATATTTTAAATTTTCAATTTTTAAAATTTCAGATTTTTCTATTTTTTGTTCTTCGTTTTCATTTACTCAAATTTTTAAATTTTAGATTGTTCAGTTTTTTGATGTTTCGATTTCTAGATCTTACGATTTTTCGAGTTCTCGGATTTAAATCTGTCGCTTTTTCAATTTTTAAAATCTTATTTTTTGATTTTTCAATTTTGTCGGTTTTTAAATTTTTCGATTTTTTATTTTTTCGATTTCATCGTTTATCGAAATTTCGATGTTTCGATTTTTTGATTGTTCAATTTTCGGATTTTTTTGATTTTGGTCTATTTTGATTTCTTAATTTTTCTACTTTTGGATTTTTCGATTTTTCGATCTTTTAATATTTCGATTTCTTGATCTTACAGTATTTAAATTTTTAAATATTTCGATTTTTCGATTTCTTGGTTTTTTGATTTTTCGACTTTTCGGTTTTTCGATTTTCGAATTTTTGTTTGTTTCGATTTTTCAGTTTTTCAATTCTTCAATTTTTCGATTTTTTGATTTGTCAGTTCTTCGACATTTCATTTTTCAATTTTTGGAATTTTTAAATTTTTGATTTTCCAATGTTTCGATTGTTTAAATTTGTACATTTTCGGTTTCCCAGTTTTCGATATTTCTGTTTTTCAATTTTTGGAATTTTTAAATTTTAGATTTTCCAATGTTGGGATTGTTTAAATTTGTCCATTTTTCGATTTTCCAGGTCTTTGATATTTCATCTTCTCGAATTTTTTAATTTTAATTCTTCAGTTTATTAATGTTTCGGTTTCTTGATGTTCTGAATTTTCGTCGTCTCGGTATTTTAATTTTTCAATTTTTGAAATTTCAGATTTTTCGATTTTTTGCTCTTCGATTTCATTTATGTATTTGAATTTTTAAATTTTAGGTTTTTAGGTTTTTTGATGTTTCGAATTCTTGATCTTTATTGATTTTTTTATTTAAATTTTTTCAATTTTAGACTTTTCCATTTTTTGATTTTGGCGTATTTTGATTTCTTAATTTCTCGACTTTTAGATGTTTCGATGTCTAGGTCTTTCGTTTTTCCAATTTTGGGATATTTCGATTTTTATATTTTTCACTTTTTCGATATTTCAGTTTTGGGAGTTTTCGATTTTTTGACTCTTCAATTTTTCGACTTTTCGTTTGATTTTTCACTTTTTAAATAAATGATCTTTAAATATTAGGTTTTTCAATTTTTCAATTTTTGATGTTTGGATTCTTCAATTTTTCGGTATTTTAATTTTTCAGTTTTTTAAATCTTACATTTTTTGTTTTTCCAGGTTTTCGATATTTCAATTTTTCTAATTTTTAAATTTTAGATTGTACAATGTTTCGATTTCTGGATCTTTTGATTTTTTGTTGCCTCTGTTTTAGATTTTTCGGATTTTCAATTTTTCGATGTTTCAGTTTTAGGATTTTTCATTTTTTCGATCTTTTGATGTTTTAATTTCTTCATTTCTCAATTTTTCGATATTTTAATTTTTCAGTTTTTAAAATTTTAGATTTTTCGATTTTTTGTTCTTCCATTTTTTGTTTTTCGATATTTCAATTAATCGATTTTTTGAATTTTAGATCGTTCAGTTTTTCGATGTTTCGATTTGTTGATCTTTTGATTTTTCGACTCCTTGGTTTTAAATTTTTCGCTTTTTCAATTTTCAAAATGTTTGATTTTTCGGTTTTTCAGTTTTTCGGTTTTTAAATTTTTCGATTTTTCAGTTTTTTTATTTCTTCATTTATCGAGATTTCGATGTTTCGATTTTTGATTGTTCAATTATCCAATTTTTTTAATTTTCAGTTTTTCGATTTTTCAATTTTTGTAATTTTTATAAATTTTTGATTCTCCAATTTTTCGATTGTTTAAATTTGTACATTTCGATTTTACGATTTTTTGATGTTTCGATTTCTTGACATCTCGGCTTTTTTGAAATTTTTCAACTTCCATGTTTAGTTCTCTCGATTTTTCAAGTTTTCGATTTCTCAATCTTTCGATAAAATTGAAATTTGGGAACTTTTCAATTTCTGGATTTTTCAATTTGTGGATATTAATAAAAAAAATTACACCCACAAAATCTTGGAATTTATTGACCAGCTGAAGAATCGCAGACTTGATATTTTCAGCATGACGGTGCAACAGCTCATAGAGCTCAAACAAGTTTGAACTTTCTAAGGCAATTTTATGATTTGACACCTTTAAGTTATTTCTGTTGAAGACCTAAAAGTGAGAATCATACAAAAAAAATCTCTAATATTTGAGAATATGAAACGCCGAATTAATTTATGTACCGAAAGTGGGGATGGATATTTGCAGCAATTATTGTAAATTCAGTTACATATGTTGCTTGTCATAAATAAATCATTTTAAATCCAACAAGGGTTTAATTCTTGTTGACATAACATAACGTAGCTTTCTAAGTTAACTTTTTCACATTCAGGTTGTGTTGTAAAATTGCGAATTCATCACAATAATGCACATTTTTAACAACAATAAACAACAAATGCTAAATTCATTGTATCGGGCACCATTTTTTCCACGACTATTGATGAATGTTTAAATTTGTATTTTAAAAATGTATAAGTGATAAAGTTGGTTGAACAATGAAAGTTGTTTATCAATTGCATTGCATTGCATTGACGTAGTGTGTTGTTTGGGATTTATTAACGCTCAAGTGGCACAAATTATTCCATGATTAGAAGGTTGGTATCTGTTAAAATCCATCACTGCGACATAAATAATTCTTCAATAATTTTCCATTTTTAGCTCGATCGCACCTTTCTTTAGATGTTTTTCGCTGCGCTGATAAATTAGATTAAATTTTGTAAGAAACGGTATTTGGAAGCCCATGTTGTTTGAAAGTTATTTGGTTGTACTTGTTTCATAAAGTCAGTATTGAAAAATCGCATCTCGTAAAGTTTGGCTTGAGAATTTTAATAACATTGTGTTGAAATACCTGGCTTGGAAATTCTGCGATGCCGGTTTAGAGGTAATTTTTAAATATGGGAGAGGTTTTAGCTGCTTCAGTGGGTAGCCAATGACACTTGATCATCTGTATTTATTCCACTGATTAAGTTGTAATACACTCTGTGAGAATTTTCATTCTACGGAATAAGTACGCTTATGTCATCTAATGACAGGAACTGTCGCTTTAAGCACAATTTTTTAAAAAATCGTTACTGAAGCTCTGCGAAAAAATAAAATATGCAAAAATCTGTCAGCAACCAAGAGCCACAAAAATGATGGAGTGTTTTTAGGTTTGCCGTATTTTATTTGTACGCCCGTTTTTTCGACTCCTCGCCTCACGTTTGATTCTTCTCTTTCAGTCCATGATGAGGCACGAGTGAAGCCGGAAGTTGCATTTGTCCGAGCCGCACTTCTATATAAAGCGATCGTTTGATATCGCTCTTTCGGAAACGATGTCTTGAGCGCTGGTTCTGCATGACAAACGGACGAGGCGCCGGTATGGCGTCGTTCATGACGAAAAAGAAGAAGTACAAATTCCAAGTGGGTCTATGTCTGGAAGAACTGCTGGAAGTGCCTTTCGTTTCTGCCGTCCTATTCGCCAAAATCCGGCTTCTAGACGGGGGAAATTTTCAAGATCACAGCAGCAGGTGAGTTCATCATTTGAAAATAGAGCAATTAGCAGCATCGTTCGATATTGGCAGTGGGAGGACAGAAATAAATGCCTTAACAATCTGAATGAATCTTGCCCTTCAACCTTTAGCGGCGCGTATTTTTGTTCTGGAATTTTAAAGAGACGTGATCTAACTTGGGAAGCGGGAATTAGTTTTGTACGGAGGATTGTCGATCATAAAGCGGGGTATTTACATAACGTTTGCGTATTTACAGTTCCACGGAAGCTCGTCCCGGCTAATAACGAGCACTTTTCCTACATGCGGAGTACATAAACCTGATGATGGCGTACTCAAAGTTTAGCACGACGTAATGAATTCATTAAAGCTTAGTTCATGTCGTCTCTGGTAAAAAACACGAAACGTAATTACGTCTTCTGAAAGGATTTTGGGAGCAGTTTACGTCAACAAGATTCACTTTCGTTCATTGTTGTTTATTATTATTTTATGGAAGAGAGAAAGGAAGTGTGACTTTCTTGTAATTAAGTTACTTTCAAAACCCAATAGTGTTCCAGTTTCCGCTCCAACAATACTCGCTGGACAGACATTTTGATGATATGGTGGGCAGTTTAGAAAGTCACTTTGAAAAAGAAATACGTAATTCATGAGATTCGTTTAAAGTTCAAATTATTGTTTTTTCGAGATTGCAACAACATAAACAGTATTGTGTTTAAGGTTCAGAAATCATCAAAGCGAATTAATCTCGTACCTACCTTTGTTGTATGTCTAATCATCGCTGTGGAAATAATTAAAATTAATTGCAATAATGTTTACCATCATTTCGTTGCTTGCTTTATAAGCTTGAGTTCGCGTTTTTTGTTGTAAGAAAAATAAATTGAGCAGAACGATAATATTTTTGTTATTATGGGCGAAATGTACTGAAATTAAGCATTTCATTGTGGAAACAGTTACGCAAAAATGGAAGAATTACATTCAAGAATCCAAATATGCGATAAGTTTTCAAATACTGCCCACATTGCGTATTCTATAAATGACAAATTTTGGTACGAATCCTTGGTGTGTTTCTGTTACGTAATTATTCATTTTTAGTGCCAACCCTAATTTATGAGTTACGGTGTGGTCGACGGTTTGATCAGAAATTAATAATCCGTCCCGGAGGGTATTTAACTCCCATACATTTTTATTGCCTACTTATCATACTTTGGCATTTTTTTACCACATTTCACTTTAGTATTGGATTTGTTGAGAACGTTTACTTTCTATAGAGACTGGTAGCCCGCATTATCCATCATACTAACACCCAAAATATTTATTCGTTCACATTATGAAATTAGTGTTTAAGGTTTTCCTTTTTTTTATGATAAAATGATATTAAAATAGATGCATCAAACTGCATGTTCTAATTCCCTGAAAACAGTTCAATCAACCAAAAAAATGTGACGCAGAAATATCGTGAAAAAAACACCATTGTCTTTCTTCTATTTTTCCCTCTTTTTTGTATGGTAAACAACATAGAATCGCTTGAAAATCCTCACACTGACAAACTAACTTATTCTAAAGGCCCCTATCATATTAAATATTTATTAGTAGTACAATTTATTTAAATAATAATGTATATCAAAATTAAATCCTAAAGTGGTTATTAGCGTTTTCGGCTGATTTTTCTAATTTATGATGACGAATTCGATTTTATACAAGTCGTCCGGAAGAATGAATGCTATTGCGTCGATTATATTAAAAACTTGTAGATTTGAAGCTATACCGGGTGTCTGGAAAATGGCGGATTAAATCTTCAGTACGTTATGTTTCGGGAGTCAAAAAAACAATAAAAATAAAAAGATTACGAAAAAAATCGTAATTTTATAAAAATAAAATTGGCAACACTGCACGCACCTAATGCGTGAATACATCCGACTTACTTTCTAATTTTTTAGTAACGATGGTGACTGAAATCCACATTTTATTTTTTTTTAGGACAATAACAATAACAACCAGTAGTCATTAATCATTGTGCATTATTAATGAAATAAGCTGTTATTTTTCAGTAACAAATAAACCAAAAAAATATTTAATAAGACATTTATAAATTCTAAACAAAAGCAAAAACAACAAAAGAAAAATCCAACTCGCCATGTTTCCAAATTTTGATCATTTTTGATCATCAGTACTTGCTAAGATAAAACTGATTTTGGTAAATGACATACCCTCTAAGAAAAGAGAGGGTGGGTGGGCGGGGATAGTACCTGCTAAAAAAAGACAGATTTTGGCAAATGAGAAAAACCTCTAAGAAAAGAGAGGGCGGGTGGGCGGGGTTAGTTTTTTTTAACACACAACCGATTTTGGCAAAGGAGATACCCTCTAAGGAAAAAGAGGGCGGGTGGGTGGGCGGGGATAGTACCAGCTAAGATAACACTGATTTTAGCAAATGACGTATCCTGTAAGAACTTTAATTAAATTATTATAAAAAAGGACACTAGAGACTCTAAAGCACTTTGAAATTCTTTCCAAACAGGAATCCCTACAACCTCAAGATTGTTTTAAATAAAAAAAAAAAAAAAAATTGGGTGACCAAATTAACTCAAAAACAGATCAGTTAAAAAAAACCCAAACACTACGGCACTAGTGTAATGTTGCTCTATATAATAATTTTGATTTTTTTTTTTTAAACTGAACACAAACTCATAAGCAAAAACCCTATTTTATTGTTAATAAAATTTTAAGTTTTTTTTCCAAAAATCTGGGGCCTGGGGTAAGAACTCAACACGGATTTATACACCACAAGTGCAGCGGTGTTATTTTATAAAATTCAGACAACATTTATTCGGTAAAATTTTGTGATGGGGTCATGAATGTTTTCGGAGGGGACAAACGCACGAATTTTGATTAACATTTTAACATGCTTACTATAACCTTAAAATATCTTCAAAGGATTCTGCTTTGCAGAGAATTAATGTGTAATAAATTGTTAATATGCAGAAAAACATGAAAATTAAAAAACAGCATAAAAACACTAAAATAACCGGGAACGTGTTTCATCACTTGAACAGACACAAACGTTATATCAATCTTTATGTATACATTTCATTCCGACTTTTCGTCTTGTGTCATTTTCAAATTGTCAACATTTGTCTTTTTTTTCGATTACTCACTGGATCAGGTTGATTTGTTAATAAAAAACAATTGGTCGAAAGTTGTTTCGACAGAACTTACCTTGCTCCTAAAGTACAGTGAAATATATCCAGATTCTCGAGTGTTTATTTATCTTAATACATCGAAAGAATGTCACGTAGAAATTAGTTTGATTTGAATGAATTCACAGTCGAACAAAATGATCTGAATATTATATTCTCCGAGGTCTCGACTTGCCGCTGTGCCACGGATTCGTGCACTACAAATATAGGAGTATATTTTTATATTAACATTAAAATTATTTAAAAATACAATTAAATGAAATGACGTCATCAAATTGTTGGTGGGGATGATTATCCAACTTTTGGGTAGTATTTAACCATCTACATCATATTTCTAATATACGTACAAAATTTGACAACAATCGGTCCAGCAGTTTCGGAGATTACTTGTCTAATAAAAATGAATACAGAAACCAGACCAATATATGGATACAGACAGACAGACAGAGAGACGGAAACGGGAGACTACTTTTTTCGTACTGTAGGGGTCATGAAACATCAAGAAAACATAAGTGTGGCACTTCGTCCGATGGACTCGATTACTATACTTCCTTAGCTTACGCTCGGGAAGTAATTACTACTTTACATCTAAAATCTACCCGTAATAAATTTATTAAATAAAGATTGGTTATTGTTAAAAAATCACTCTACTGTTTGGTATAAATATTATTATTCAAAATGTTGTCCTTTCGAATTAAACCAGGAAATTTTGATTTTTGTCCACTTTATTCTACCTAAGTGTCTAGGGATTATGGAAACCCGCAGTGAGGAGGCGGCCCACTAGCAACCCCCAACACAATCGGTTAGCCGGATACGCAACATATCTACTACAAAAAATAAAAAAATTACGAAATGAAAATTGAATTAAAAAATTATGTAAAATTGTATTCAAATCTAATTTAAGAGATTCCAAATGTCATTTTTCAAATGTTTCGAATTTTCAGTTTTACAATGTTTTTTGCTTGCATTTTTGTTTTTCGAGTTTTCAAAAAATACTATCATTATCGAATTTCTCTCAATATGGCCTTTATATTATATTTATATTAAGGCTAGTTTTTTGTGGTGGGGATTTTTTTAAATTTTGAGAATTGAACTGAAAATATAGTACTTAAGTTTTCATTCGTTGGGAGACGTAGGGGCGGAGCCTAATTGCAAAATCCATATTTTCTTACAAAAATTTACCATTTTAAACGTGTCATAAGTTTATAAGAATAAAAAAAATTCATCACAATTGAGATGGGGTGGGTGGGCGGGCTTTTATATTTTCGTTTTTTTTTTCTTAATATACATTCTATTCTTTGAACAACACGATACTCAAAAACATGTTTTTAATTTCTTGTAAAGAAATAGCAAAGAGTGCGGATGTTCTAAGTTGGGGACATACAAAGAAGAAAAATAAACGAACTTGCCATAAAAATTATAAAAGTACAGTATAATCTCACTAATCCAGCACTATTTAAAAGCGGAGGGTGCCGGATTATTGGAATGTTCGGATTACTGGATTATAGTGAAAAAGTCATAGGTAAGGAATAAAATAAAGCATTTCATAGAGGGAATAAATGTATGTAATGTATTAAAGGAGGTGTAGAGGGGCGAGGGAGGCGTGGGCGGAGGGTGCCGGATTATTGGACGTGCCGATCTATCGAAGTGCCGGATTAGTGAGATTATGCTGTATATATATTTGCATATCAACGGAAAAGAATTGAATTTTATTCACATTCTTAAAAAACCAATTGCAGTTAAAACTGCAGTGCATATATTAATTAACAAGAGAAAAATATTAAATCTCTATTTTTTTCTTAATAAAAACTTAATAATAATCAATAA